AAGATGAGGCACCAGAGGGTGATTATTCGGAGTCTCAGTACTAGGCAGAACCCCAGAAGGAGGAGGCACTGAAGGTTGATTATTTGGAGCTTCATTACACGGTACAGCCCCAGAAGACGAAGGCAATAAATGCCTTTGGAACAAACCCACAAACCTTTGATGATCAAGTAAAATCTGACCATCAGATTCCTGCAGCTGGTCGAGCTTCCTCTTCATGTTTGTAGCATAGTCATGTGCGAGCCTATGCAACTGTTTATTCTCATGCTTGAGCCCTCTGATCTCCTGTTTGAGACTTATCACTTCAGCCGCCAATGATTCAACTTGGCGGGTTCGAGCAAATAGGCGTTGGGTGATATCAGACATAGAACCTGCACACTGAACACTGAGAGCCAGAGAATCCTTAACAGCCAACTCATCAGACCGTTTGGAAAGTAGTCTGTTATCTTTGGGAGTGAGAAGGTTCCTGGCCACCACCGCAGCGGTCATATCATTCTTCATCACAGAGTCCCCAACGGTAAAATGACCAATAGGGGATAAGAAGGATGGGCACCATATGTTGTCTTGAGAAGGCATGGCTGCCTCTTCACCAAAGTTCAAGTCAAAACGACGGTCGGATAGGCCAAACATTCTCATAAATGATGAAAGAGAAATGAGATGCAATAAATCTCTGAAGTAAGGGAAAAATTCCTACAAGCAATAACTCTCTTAATGTACTTCTTGCACACAATTGGTGCCCTTATAAAAGAAAGGGCAACAGGGTCGTTGGTTCAAAAATCGAAGAGGCACCACTCTCCGGATTTCGAAGAGGCACCATTTTCCACATGCAACATCAACTCCTCGGGTACCACAGATAACTTTGTTAAAGATCTCTGACAAAGTTTAGACATATAAACTTTAAAGGTCCAGCTACCCTACTATTACCCACAAGGGTAAAGGAACAGCACCACTGCTTGATAACTAGAAAGTCCTAATGTGTGTCAACCCTCGTGCTCCATGGCAAGGCAGACTGGCAAAAATGCCCAACATTTACTCACATTTGAGAAAACACTCCCAACAAGATTGCTTGCTCAAAAATCGAAGAGGCACCACTCTCCGAATCTCGAGAGCCAGACTCCCAATAGGATTACTTTCTCAAAAATCGAAGAGACACTGCTCCTCGAATCTCAAGAGTCAGACTCCCAACAGGATTACTTTCTCAAAAATCGAAGAGGCACCGTTCTTTGAATCTCGAGAGCCAGATCCCTGATAGGATTGCTTGTTCAAAAACCGAAGAGGCACCGCTTTCCGAACTTCGAGAGCCAGATTTCCTTGGATAAAGCTTGTCTACAATCTTCACACGCAACATCAGCTTTCCAGATACCACAAACCACTTTTTCAAAGCGCTCTGACAAAGTTAAAACATGTTAAGCTTGCAGCTCCCACTACATTGCTATGACCAAGAAAGGTAAAGGAATAGCATTATTACTTGCTCAAAAATCGAAGAGGCACCGCCCTTCGAATCTCAAGAGCCAGACTCCCAACAAGATTACTTTCTCAAAAATCGAAGAGGCACCGTTCTCCGAATCTCAAGAGCCAGACTCCCAACATGATTGCTTTCTCAAAAATCAAAGAGGCACCGTTCTCCGAATCTCGAGAGCCAGATCCCCGACAGGATTGCTTGTTCTAAAATCGAAGAGGCATCGCTCTCCGAACTTCGAGTGCCAAATTTCCTTGGATAAAGCTTGTCTGCAATCATCACACACAACATCAGCTTTCCAGATACCACATACCACTTTTTCAAAGTGCTCTGACAAAGTTAAAACACGTGAAGCTTGCAGCTCCTACTACATTGCTACAACCAAGAAGGGTAAAGGAATAACATTACTACTTGTTGTTAGGGAGACTCCTATATATGTCGACCTCCATCCTCCACGGACAGACAAACCTGCAAAAATACCCAACCCTTCCTCATATCTGCGAGGGCACTCCCAACGAAGCCTCTCAAAATACTCAGCTTTCTTCCCCTCAATAATACCTATGCAAACCAGCCACACCAGAGCAAGAGTATCTCATATCATCAGGGTCAAAAGCAAGAGTATCCCATATTATGCCTTTTCCTTGTCTTTTCTTTTGCCCTTGTTCTTACCTGCAAGACAAGGAGAAAGAGAGCAATCAATCAGCACTTGGAATCAAGCTTCCAGTCAGGAACTGACTGCCTGGAACCCCATGCCTGATTACTTACCTGGCATTGCTCTCGAGTACTCATCTTCAACATCTTATACTTTCAGAGAAGATACCACATCTGCTTGAGAAACAGATAGGGCAAGTGAGAAGGATACAAGGAAGCATGTGAAGACAAGCGTAACATAACACGTGCCGATACATCCACTACTTTGTCAAAAGCAAAAGTATCCCATATCATCAGGGTCGAACGTACTCTAGATTTGATGGACTTGTTTTGACCCTCAAATTCTTGAGTCGGCCTTATACTCTGGAGGAAACCAGAAAACCCTTCAGCCCAGTTCAAGAATAAGCCTGTGGAAAGTTACTTCTTCAAAAGAAAAAGTATCTCATATCATCTCTTATCCATTTGCTTCTCCTTATCCTTGGTGCTATTTACGACACAAGGAGAATGAGAACAATCAACCGAAAGCCGAAGTCGAACCTTCGATCCAGGTTGCTTGCTTGGAAGTCTGATTGCTTACCTTGTCTGTTACCTCCTTCGGCAAATCTCCTAGCTCGGTGACTTGAGGGACTCCTACTATAGGGTTTGTATCGCACTTGACCAAGCCCGAAACTACAAGTAAGCTTCAAGTGAAATTGATACATTACCTTGTGCATCTTCATCGGTTAAAGAAACCACCTCTGGATGGAGGAAAAGTACTTCCAGAGAAGATGCCACATCTACATATGAGACAATTAAGGCAAGTGAAAATGATACCACACTTCGGTACTTAGAAGTTTCGTGATTACTCAATAGCTTGGATCTTGCAAGTCCCCAACCGAGGAGCTTCCCTCACTCTTGAACTTAGGGGAGAACTGTTTGTGCCATACTTGACCAATCCCGAAACTACTGAGCACCGGTCAACGTTATACCGTCAAGGACCCAAAAAAGTTTCCCTCCAACCAAGAGGCCAATCACAGCGCGACACGTGTCGACATCAGAAGCCAATCATAGCGCAACTTGTGTCAACATCAGAAGCCAATCACAACACAACACGTGTCAATGTCAGAATGAAACTAGAAACTCTCTTCTATAAATAGAGATCATTCTCTCACAATATTTCCTAATGTCATTTGTACTAAATCATTCACTAATACTCACTAAAGGAGAGCTTGAACCTATGTACTTGTGTAAACCCTTCACAATTAATGAGAACTCCTCTACTCCGTGGACGTAGCCAATCTGGGTGAACCACGTACATCTTGTGTTTGCTTCCCTGTCCCTATCCATTTACATACTTATTCACACTAGTGACCGGAGCAATCTAGTGAAGGTCACAAACTTAACATTTTCTGTTGTACCAAAGTCCTCACTGATTTTGTGCATCAACATATGTAATATTGCCATGTGACCATGCTCATCAGGATTCACTCTCAAGTTCTCAACATTCCCGTTCACGTGTAGGGAGACATTACAAATTGGGCGACATTTAGCATTTGTCCTTCTTTCGTTGGACCACATGCTCTGGTATCATGAAGTTAAGGTTTCACCATAAAACCAATTAACAATATGGGGAGTACCCAACTACTTGTAAACACGTATAAGGTAACTCAACGACAATGATAATGGAAGTGGTGGTGAAGGGCTGAAAGCCATGATGGTGGGGTGGTGTCAGCGATGGTGGTTGGAGTGGGGTGATGGTCATGGAAATGTGGTAGGGGTGGCAGTACATAGCATGGTTGTGGCGCTGGCGATAATGATGGAAATGAGGGTGGTGGTGGTGGTGGGGGTGGCAGTACATAGCATGGTTGTGGCGCTGGCGATAATGGTGGAAATGAGGGTGGTGGTGGTGGTGGTAATAGTTGTGGTGGCATGGTAGGAGAGGTGGTTGTGGTGGCGTGATGGTGGGAGTTGCAACTACGACCACGATAATGGTGGGGGTTGAGGTGGGGGCTGCAAGGTGGTGGGCATGTAAGAGCGAAGGTGGCATATATGGAAATAGAGTTGGGCTATGTTAATTTAAAAATTTTTACTTCTGAAAAAAAAATTCTAATACTTAGCATGGGATCATCGCATAAGAGAGAAACTTGAGAACGATAATGATGATATGAATATAATATTATGCTAATTGTGCTGCTTTGTCTCTGCCTAACCCTACCTTTGCCCTAAATCCTAATCTTTTATAGCCAAAGGCTACTGATCTTCCTTTTGCCTTTGTGAAAGTGAAACTCTCCATTTTATGTTTAGCAAACTTAAATTGTAAAAAATCAGTTTTCAAGTTCTGATGATTCCTTATATCATTCCAAAAAGCATGAAGTCATATGCAGAGGAACTTCCATCCTTTTCCCTATATGGTTCTTATTAATTCATCCAAAAAGCATGAAATTATATGCAGAGGAACTTCCATCCTTTTCCCTAAAATTTACAAGACTCTGTTGATTTCTGTTAACTGATCACAGAAGTTGAAGCGATCCGACGTTCTAAATCTCTCATTCTAACTATATTGTCTCTCTTTCTACCAAGAACAGATCGAAGAAGAAGAAGAAAAGTTCTGCAAGAACTCTACTCTCGCTCATTATTTGTCTAATAGAAGTTCTTCAAGAAGCATTTTTTCCTATCCAACAGCAGTCAAATTTACTAATATATGTTAAAGGTGACACGAAATTAAGTCCAAACTTCATATCACAGCATAAGACAGACAAAAGCAGTCTTAAATAGCTAAATACTATGTTCACTTAACAGTAGTGAACTTAATTAAAAGTACCAAATATAACATTAAACAAAGAAACATCTGATCTTCCGGAGAAGCCATTTCTAAACCGAATGAACAAACCAGCTGTCTACTGACGACGGCTGTCTACTGACGACGGCTCTTGGGCTTGTTGGCATTGATTTCACGTTCTATCTGCACTGCAGACTATTTCAAGATTATTTGTTAGGAAACAACGAAGAGAAATAATCAATTAGAACATTTTCGATCGAGGAAATTATCAATGAAGGCATTTAGTAATATACTAGAAATAATTGATCACACAATCAAATTAGTTTTTTTTTTTTTTTTCTTTTCCTTCTGCAATCAGTTGGATAGTAAAAATCTTCCCTGGTACTAAATTATTCGAAAGTTTAAAGTTCTATCATTTTTCTTTTATTCGGCAACATGTTCCCTTCTCTTCATTAATCTACATATGACCAGAACTTCTATGTACTTCCATGTATTTCTTTATAGAACATGCTATGTAATAGTATGGGTGAAAAGATGAGAGATACATTTCTACAGATTAAGGTTGAGAGTGATCTAAGTTCACTACAAGTATTACCTGAAGAATGTGATTCAGGTTTTCCCGCAAGACAAGATACTCACGTTTGACCACGTCAAAGCCCGCAACGCACCTGAAAACATAGCATTTCATTAAAAAGAGGGTTAGTAAGAGAACGAGAAGGTCTCTATGGTAGATCACATGAGATGATTTGTATAAGTCTGAGAGAACTGCAAAGGTTGTTGAAATGTAAATATTCTTTCTCTTCAACTTTTGAGAAATTGAGCATAACTACTCAACTGGAACCGAAGATATATAGTGAATTAAGAGAAGGCAGAAGGGAGAGAGATCTTTAAAGAGTTTAAAAACCCTGGCATACTTTTCGTCAGATAATTCTCTTTCGCTCCCATGTAGTTTTGTTTTCCTACATGGCTCTGAGGGGCTAAAAGACCTACTTTAGCATTACAGTTCTAAAAAATGAAATAATTTGGAATTTTCATAGTTGTGGAATGTTGGTAGCATGTATTCCTAAAACTTGATTGAAGATGCGGTGCGGTAATATAAAAGAAATAGAACTGTATGATGTGGTAGTAAGAGAACAAAATCGTACCTTTCCTTGTTATTTGCAACATATGCTTCTCGGAGCTCAATACAAGCTGCAGCCACTCGGCAACCACCAACGCTGTAACTCCAAATGCAGTAAACCAAATTAATATTATCTACCTATGTAAAATGCAAAACAATTTGAGCATTTATAATCTATAAAATCATCTATGTCATGAAAGAAACTCCAATCCTAGAAGCCATTGTCATTTACTTGCCATAATAAAGCGTTTAATTTATGTCTGCTAACATTGTTTACCCCTGGATGTGAAACAGACTACGTGGGGTAAAACAGTCACTAGGGGGTCTAAGTAAAATAAAAAATCGAGAGTCAAGAGTCGAAACTCGAACACAACTATAGTTGGAAAGGAAATAAGTCCTCCGATGCCCAAATTATATGCTTCGAGAAGAAACTAAGATATATAGTTGAAGAGTATATGTGAGGTGAGTATGACGACACCACAAATCAGTATCAGTTTTCGAAGGGCGAGCACCTTCAACATTCAATGTGATAGATCTTGCCACAGATTTAGGCAGGGCATATATGCAGAGTGTCACAGGAAACCAATCAATTCTATTCATATGCTTTTCTCCCTAATTCACGTACAGACTAGAAAGATATGAGCAATACATGCACTACCATTGTAGGTTGTAACAGTTCTTACTTCTATTCTATTAAAGGTTGTAATAGGAATTATTTGGAACTTGAATCGGCATATGCCGCGTGTGAGTGTGGATAGATCATGTGCGCGCATTAGCATGAATAGATTACATGCCGCGCGTGAGCATGGATAGATCATATGCCACATGTTAACACACTACGTGTTGACTTCAATAGATTTCTTAGTTAGCACCTTACTTTTTCCATGTTGTTTTCAAGTATGCACGGCTTCATAAATAACCAATCATATGAATCTTTATCCGCGCGCTACATGTTGCTAACTATCAATTCGATTAAGTTAAATGCTTGCAAATGTGATCTCGATGCCACGTTCTTTCACATCCAAATCGGAAATTTAGTAACCGACTATATATCTACCAACGGTATTAATATGCAATGTGCATGGACATATTCACTAGATTTTTCAGTTCTCACTTCCGAATTTGCTTAACCAAAATTGGAAATCCTTTAACTAATGATATGATAACTTGCAAACGTTTACATCCAAACAAGAAATTTTCTAACAAAATCTTCCGAATCTTGAACCGGTGCAACAAATATTACAAACATCTAAGTATGCTTAAAAGGAATTTCTAAAGTTCGTTTAGTCACTCTGTTGGATATCTAACATGAATCTCATTTCTCATACACAAAAACGTCTTAATTAGTAAGAACATCTTAGCAATTATGCCTTGATAAATTTAGCCGTATGACACAGTAATAAAAATTATAAATATTTCGAGTGAATTGCAAGTACACAACAAGATGTAATTGGCAGTATTACCTCGCGCTAATTCCCTTGAGCTTGTGCGTAAGTTCTCTCACCTTAGAATAGTAGATGACAGTTCCACTCCTGTAATTGACCTCTCCAAAATTAGTCACTATAGATAGGCAACAGTTATACTAAAACGTCATTTAATTGGAGCCACTGAAGAGAATTACAGTTTTTTTTCAAGTTCATCTATGGTAAAGTCAGCACTGCGAATAGCAACGGTTAGCACTTCCACAACTAAACCAGGATTTTCATCTTCTAACTCTTTGATTTGATCAAAGCGGTCATCCAGTATGCCCTGCCAGAAACATGGTGATTAGATACGACCAACTAATATGTTAACGTGTTGATGCATTAACCCTAATCACTAAAAGAACCAGCCACCAGTCCCACCAAATATTAACTGTGACTAAGGCAAAAACAACGATCCAATAACCTAACAGAGATATATCTCAAATTCATCAATGAAATCAGCATTACAAGTCCTAAATAAGTTGACCATATATTAGAGCTAAACCAATTAAAACCCTTTTTCACCACTCTTTCTGAAAAACAAATAAATAAACATATAAATTAGCATATGAAACTCCACAAAATTCAAAAAGAAGTACTTAATAAAGCGAACTAAAAAAAGAAGGCAAAAGAGAAAAGGGGGTGGAGTGTTGATCTCACCTGCTCTCGCAACGAGCGGATAAAATCTATGAGCTGTTGTGTAAGCTGAGCTGCAAACATTTTCTTCCTTCAGACAGAGAGAGAGAGGAATCAAGTGAAGTGGAGTAACAGTAGCCTGCCCTTGCATGTGTATATAATGAGCTTCTTCAAAGGGGTCGTTATACATTGTATGATTAGCAAAGGACGCCACGTTGGCAGTGCACACACTCCACGCCAGATGCTCTGTCGCTCTGCTGAGGCTGGAAAATGGCATGGACCATGGCCATCAACTGGCAGTTTCATCCTGCTTTGTTTTGGCAGCCTTCTCTTACCTGCAGCAGCGGTTACGAAGACAACCATAACTCTGACTCTGAGTGGTATATTGATTATGGTACTGTTTCCCACGCGCTCCCTTGAAACGCATTTGTAACACGCGCTGTCCCAATCTGCGTTTTTGTTCGGAGTACGGGAACTGGATCTAGGGCTCATATTTTGACTCCACTCAACAACACTTCCAGTTGAGTGGGCTAATATTAAAGTTAACCCATGTTTTATTTGCTTGTAACCATCTATCTCCATAAGTTTTGGACCGGCCCACTTAGAATTGCTTTTCTATTAATTAATTCTGAGCTCATTGGCGTAAAGTGATTTTTTTTTTAGGAAAACTAATGAAAAGAGCTTGAAAACTTTGAGTTTTAATGATAAGGACAAAATAAAGGGTAAAGTGAATAGTACTAGGATTGACTTTTTAGTGTAAAAATATGGTTTTTCGTTAAAGTGAACAGTACCGGGTGCTTTTCGTTAAAGTTCCCTTTTTTTTTCACAAAACACGTTCCAAGTTTTATTATAAATCCAAGGGCTAACTTAAAAAGCACTTCCAGGTGCTTCATAAAATAGTTGGGATAATGCTAAGGAGGCTAAAGTTTAAAACTAAGTTTTGTAAATCAAATAATTTGATTGTTGATGATTGGATTGTTATTTAAATGTTGATTATCGTACTTATTTCCTATTGATAACACATCATTTGGTTTGCAAATTTGATTTAAAATTTTGATCTCCCTATTATCCAAAAGGGAGCTTTTGATTAGTGCCTCATTCCCCAACTTGTTTGATTAAACATCTATAGGTTTTACGTTTTAGATTGTACCGCCTCCTCTAAATGAGGAGCCAAGTAGACTACAAAAATGATTTCATTTTTCTAAAATTTACGAACACTGCCATTCTTTCAAGCGTTGGGAATTTATTTATTAAAAATCAGCAGATTTTTTTCCTTCTGAATTTAGTATTTCAATTCCATTAAAAATTGTCATTATCCTTTTTATTTTGTTGTTATCCTTGGAATTATCTAGAAGTATTATCTCAATGGCAGTGGCGGATCCAGGATTTTAACATAGGGTGATCCCAATCAGTGTTCTAAAAATCAACCTAAGCAGTGCCTAGGCGCTAGGCAGTGAAGGCCCACCCCGATTTTTGGGCAAATGGTTTTGAAAAATTAATCTGGAGCTAGGGGCACCTAGCAGGCTAGGCGGAGGGCTAGGTGGCACTTAGGCGGTCTTAGGCAGTTTTTTGGAATATTTTTGAAATGTGAATAGAAAATCATGATTTTTAGCTCTAAAAGACTCCATCAATATATATGCTCTTTGGACCTCATCTCGAATATTTGGAGAATAATCCCTTTGTTTGTCTACCAAAATAAAAAATGAGTACAACTACATAATGTATAATTCTTGTTGTGAATGCAAAACTATCAAAACTCTTGAGATTTACATAGATAAACACTATGTTGATCACTTGAGTGACAAGTCCTCACAACATGCACTAATAAATAAACCAGGCTCCCCAAGAAAAACTTGCATAGCCCTAAAGGCTAATCTAAAGGCTAATCCCTAATGCCAAGAAAGATACAAGCCCAATAGGCAGTACAGTAGTAAGCAAGAAGGATGGCGATGAGGAGGGTAAGTTAAAAGTTTATTTTTATTTTTTTGCAGAAGTTAAAAGTTCATTAAAGTTGAGGAATCCCACTTAATTTAATCTTTTCATTTTTATTAAAGTCTCTAAATTGTTTTTTACTTAAGAATGCTATAAAAGCCCAATATGTGGAGTCTAGAGAATGTCTAATCACAATGAAATGCAGTCGACAGTGCTTTTTTAAAATGTTTTATTGGCTTGGCTCAAAATGGTATGTTTTGGCCAAGTCATTTCAAGTCATTTTAAAACAAAAAGGTCATCTTCTTTCTCCTCTTGCAACATAACGAGCAGTGCATCGGCAGCCATGGCTGCTGTTCTCCACCACTACAGCCCAGACTTGGGTGGTCTTTGGAGGTTTCAATAGCCCTTTATGTGAGCTTCCGGGTGGTCCTGGGACCACCTCAGTCCCTTAGTAGATCCGTACCTGCTCAATGGCTTTTGAATTTGAATTGTTAATGGTTGCTTACTCAATATATGACAACAATTGTACCCAAGTTAAATATGATATACAAACTCGCTCGGTACACTAAAAATGTATACCACTGTTAATGTATTTGGAAAACTATCAATAAAAAATTTAAAACATATCCAATAACTTTAAACAGACGTATCCAATTATTGACAACCGTACCAAATACCTTCCAACAAACTTAATAAATTATAACTTCTAACGTACCCCTTTCTTATTAATTTGATTCTTGGTTTATTTTATCTCAAATGCTTTGGTACATTTGAAGGTATAACTAAACATACCAATCTTGTCATTATTACTATTTTTTTTTTTTAAGGAAAACTAATGATAAGGGCTTCAAAACTTTGAATTTTAACCAAAAACCATATAGAAAGTTTATTTTATGGTTAGGACAAAGCCCAACATTTAATTAGTTCAATCAACATGGCCCAACTGAAATAACTTAACATGTGTCCAATTCTACCCCTGACTTTTACTCTAACAGTGTTTAATTTTTCCGTTTGTTATTTTTTTGTTAGTTTATTCGGGAAATAAACAGAGCAAAGTACCCACGCAAGCAATCGGAAACAACCCATATAAACGCACAATCAAAACAGCATAAAACCCAAACCCTAAAAACAGTCAGTCAACTCCAGTCGCACTGCCGCCCTCAGCTCAGACCACAAAGCCACACAACCGAAAGACAATCTTTATTCACATTCGAATTTTTTGGGCTATGGCTCTGAATAAGTGAGGAGCTTCAGATACCCAGATGCAGAAGAAGAGGTGGGTAGCATTGGCTGCACTGAGGAAGGTGCTAACGTGCACCATATCTCAATAGTGCTAATGGCTTTCTTCTCTGGGGTGTTTGATGCTTATTCTTGTCAGTTGGAATTGGGGACTTTGGGAGACTCTTTCATATCTTCCTCTTTTCTATATAGCATGTGTATTGATGCATTGATGAACTTGTTCTTATTTCGTCGGGTGCTTTGAGAGGTTCACTAAACCATTGTGTGTTCTTATTTCGTGTTTGAGAGCAGCTGACCGACTAAATCATAGAAGGTTAATCGTATACCGTTGAAAATTTTGCAGGGAAATAAAATTGATGCAGGCTCTAAAGCTGTGCGTGTACTCTAAAGAGTAAAAAACAAGTTGAGAATGCAGAGGGTAGAGTTTAGAGGGTTGGTTCCACCACCTTTTTTTTTTTTTCTTTTTTTTTTTTTTTGAGTTTTTTACTCTTTCCTTCAATGAGTATTTTACTTTTAAAAAAAATAGTCAATGTTCAATTCTAGAAATATTTTGTGTTCAGTTTAAGAAATAGTGATAGTACCAGTGTTCAATTTACGAAATAGTGATAATACCAGTGTTCAGTTTAAGAAATATTCAGTGCTCACTTTAAGAAATAGTAATAGTATTGTACTTAGTTCTAGAAATAGTTTGTGGTCAGTTTACAAAATAGTGATAGTGCTAGTGTTTAGTTTAAGAAATAGTCAATGTTCAATTCTAGAAATAGTCTGTGTTCAATTCTAGAAATATTCAATGCTCATTTTTTATCATGTGGTACTTTCATGCATTTTATTTATCCTCATAAAATAATACATTGTCTCCATGAAAGTTAATTTATCAATTGTGTCAGTAGATTAGAGGTGATACAACCCACTATGATGCAGTTGTGAATCCAGCGGCATCTGGAGTACTTTTAGTCGGATTGAAATCAGCTCGGTGCGAAACAATGCCTTGGAAAGACAGTTAAGGTAGAGCTGAATGGAACGAGGATCCCTGTAAAGTCATTTCTTGATTATGTTGACACTACTTACAATATGATCAATTATTATCATATGCTTGTTGATTAAGATCAAGATGCTTAATTATTATTATTATTCTATTATTTTTTTAAATGAACACTAGTATTATCACTATTTCGTAAACTAAACACTAACTATTTCTTAAACAGAACATTTGTACTATCACTGTTTCGTAAACTAAACATTGACTGTTTATCAAACGAACATAAGTACTATCACTATTTCGTAAACTAAACACTGACTATTTCTTAAACGGAACATTAGTACTATCATTGTTTTGTAAACTAAATATTGACTATTTATCAAACGAACACTAGTACTATCACTGTTTCGTAAACTAAACACTGACTATTTATTAAACGGAACACTAGTACTATCATTGTTTCGTAAGCTAAACACTGATAATTTCTCAAACGGAGCACTAGTACTATCACTATTTCTTAACTGAACATTGACTACTTCTTAAAATGAACACTATTTCTTAAATTAAACACTGACTATATCTTAAACCGAACAATAGTACTATCATTATTTCATAAATTGAACACAAGTACTGTCACTATTTCGAAAACTAAACACTGACTATTTATCAAACGAACACTAGTACTATCACTGTTTCGTAAACTAAACAATGACTATTTCTTAAACAGAACACTAGTACTGTCACTGTTTTGTAAACTAAACACTGACTATTTCTTAAACGGAACACTAGTACTATCACTGTTTCATAAACCAAACACTGACTATTTATTAAATGAAACACTAGTACTATCACTGTTTCGTAAACTAAACACTGATTATTTCTCAAACGGAACACTGTCACTGTTTCGTAAACTAAACACTGACTATTTCTTAAACGGAACACTAGTACTATAACTGTTTCCTAAACTAAACACTGACTATTTCTTAAACGGAACACTAGTACTATCACTGTTTCGTAAACTAAATATTGACTATTTATCAAACGAACACTAGTACTATCACTGTTTAGTTTACTATTTATCAAACGAACACTAGTATTATCACTGTTTCGTAAACTAAACACTAATTATTTCTCAAACGGAACACTATCACTGTTTCGTAAACTAAACACTGACTATTTCTTAAACGGAACACTAACACTAGTACTATCACTGTTTCGTAAACTAAATATTGATTATTTATCAAACGAACACTAGTACTATCACTGTTTCGTAAACTAAACACTAACTGTTTATTAAACGGAACATTATCATTGTTTCGTAAACTAAACACTGACTATTTAT